TGGCGTCTCTTATGTTCTTATGACCGTGATCCTCCATGAACGTCTGTCAGAACAGGACATGGACCTGTCATGCATGACCGAGACCTGGGTACGAGATGGGGAGACTGTAGCTTTCTCCTAGTTAGCTCCCCCTGGGTTCTCGGTCCTCTACCAATTCCGGACTAAGGGGCGGGGGTGGGGAGGAGTGGCACTGTTTATTCGGGAGGTTTACACTTTCAGAGCACTCCCGCCGCCGAAGCTCACGGGCATAGAGTGTGCTGGGTTTGTATGGGAAGCTGGGGAGAGTTTGGCTGTTTGGCTGGTGTACCAACCGCCCAACGCACCGGCAAACAGCCTGCCATCCCTGCTGGAGGCCGTATCAGTCTGGGCACTGGAGCACCCTAGACTGTTAGTCCTGGGTGACTTTTGTGTCCATGCCGATGACGCGACTTCCATGCAGGCAGTGGACCTGGTGTCATCCATGGTGGTGCTAGGACTCTCCCAATCTGTTATGCCCCCCACTCACCGAGCAGGGCACACGCTCAATCTGATCTTTGTGGTGGGGGTTACAGTGGACTGGATTACGGCCACGGCCATTCCATGGTCAGACCACCATGTTCTGAAGGCCCGCGTGAACATGCCACCTGAGGACAGTACTGCAGCAGAAAGGCAAAGACTGGATCCTGTAGCTGAAAGCTATCTAAGTGGTGAGGAGGATAGAGCCTCCCAGGGAACACCTGCAAGGGATCAGTCTCTGCTGCAGCCCAGTAATTCATCATCAGACTCGCCTCCACCTGTAACCAGGCTCAGGAATGTAAGAAGACAACAGCTGAGAGAGCGAAGGCAGAATGCACGCATGCGTGCCAGAAGATCTCTTAGCCCTGATTACTGACAGGATCCTGTCCTCACTCCTGGCTAGCTAATGAGTTGATTAGCTAGCACTGTATATATGCAAGTCTGTTGCCAGCAGTCATTTGTGCTGGCAACGTCGTTTGTTCAGGACCTGAATCCTTGCATCTCTGCTCCAGACCTTGTGGAATTCTTCTCGGCTTGATCCTTGGCTTTTGACCTTCGGCTTTGTTGACCCTGCGTTCATCTCTGACTCCTCTGGTATTGTTGTGATTTATGGACTTGAAACTTTGGTATGTCTGACCCTGCTTTTGGACTGTGATTTAAACCTGCTTGAACCTTGCTACCTGGTTTGCCCGGCTTGACCTCGGACTGTTCCTGGACTTTTGCTTGCTTGTGTCACGCCCCCTGGTCCTGCCGTGACACCCAGGCGACTCGCTGGATGAGCAGCAACAAGGCAGCCATCGAAGAGATCACTCCCCAACATCCTGTGCACCCCCACTCAAAACTCGCTCCATGGTACTCACAGGAGCTGAGGTTGATGAAGCGGGAGCTTAGATGGCTAGGGAGACAGTGGCGACATGCTCGCGACGGAGCATCAACAGCATCCTATAGGATGTTTATGAGATCCGATGAGATGGCACTCAAGGTTGCGAAAGAGAACACTATGCGGCCACGATTGCGTCTGCGAGCTCTCGCCCAGCTCAATTATTTAGAACAATTCGGTCTCTTACTACTCTGCCATAGGGCAGATTAAATGATAAGGAATTGGAAATCGGCTGTGAGGCTTTTGCGAGCAATTTCTCAGATAGTCTTCTTGCTCCGCCATGACCTCCCCACCACAGTTGAGACAGTAACGGAACTCGATGTCCCATGCGCGTCTTCTTCTCACCTTCTGGATTATTTCGGTCTACTCAGCCTAGAGGAGGTTGACAAATTACTCTCATCTGTTCTCCCAACCACTTGTAGCTTCGATCCGCACCCATCATGGCTTGGGGGGGGGGTCAACAGTGGGAGGTCTTCTAATGTCCTGGCCCCACTGGTGGATCTCCTGATGGCACTGGTATTTCTGGCCACTGTGGGATACAGAGTGTTGAACTGGATGGGCCTTTGGCCTGATCCAACATTGGGATCTCTTATGTTCTTATGTTCTTAATTAAAGCTAGCCGTGATGGGATGCAAGGTGCGCTAAGGGAGATAATCAACGAGTCCCTCATCAAAGGGCTGTTCCCTAGCGCACGAAAGGAGGCAGTGGTCCACGCCCTCCTAAAAAAACCATCCTTGGATCTGGCCAAGTTGGCTAACTACTGGCCGGTATCCAATTTGCCCTATTTCGGCAAGGGCGGTGGCGATTTAGGTGCAGGTTTTTTTGGATGATGCCTCCATATTAAATCCCTTCCAGTCCGGCTTCCAACCAGGCCATGGGACAGAGACAGCCCTGGTTGCCCTCACAGATGACCTCCGGAGGCATCTGGATTGAGGCGGCATGGCAATGTTGATGTTGTTAGACCTTTTGGTGGCATTCGACACGGTCGACCATCAACTACTAATCCATCGCCTTACTGATGCCAGGATTCAGGGGTTAGCCTTGCAGTGGCTCTCCTTGTTCCTTCAGGCCTGGGGACAAAGGGAGGCCATTGGGGAGCAGCTGTCCAGAAGGCACCCATTAATTTGTGGAGTGCCCCAAGGAGCAGTGCTTTCCCCAATGTTATTCAACATCTATATGTGCCCCCTTGCCCAGATTGCCCGGAGGCATGGACTGGGTTGTCACCAATATGCTGATGACACCCAGCTCTATCTGTTGCTGGACAGCCAGTCAAACTCTAGTCCAGGAGATCTGTACCTGGCGTTGAATGCTGTGGCTGGTTGCCTTAGACTGAGTTGACTGAAATTGAATCCGATGAAGACAGAGGTCCTGTGCCTGAGTCAGAGCGGGCCAAGGTTAGGGATCCCTCTCCCGACCTTTGATGGGCACTGTTGGTGCCAGTGCCAGAGGTTAGGAGCTTTGGAGTGCTCTTGGATGCCTCCTTAATGATGGAGGCCCAGGTAGCAGCCACTGCGAAGTCTGCCTTTTACCACCTACGGCTGATTAGGCAGTTGGTTCCCTTCCTTGAACGCAATGACTCGGCAAAAATGATCCATGCAATGGTCACCTTGAGATTGGATTACTGCAGTGCTCTCTACATGGGGCTGCTCTTGTCCCAAATCCGGAAGCTGCAGCTGGATCACTATGCAGTGGTGAGGCTGTTGTTGTGTCTTCCTGTGCGGGAACATATCCAGCCCACCCTGAAAGCACTGCACTGGTTGCCTATAGCATACCCGATTCAGTTCAGGGTGCTGGTTCTTACATTTAAAGCCCTATATGGTCAGGGACCTACTTACCTAAGGGACCGCCTTTCCCCATATGTTCCCCAGAGAGCACTAAGATCAGCATCCCAAAATTGCCTGACTCTCCGGGGCCCTGAAGAAGCCAGGTTGGCTACAACGAGGCCCAGGGTCTTTTCTGTGGTGGCCTCATACTGGTGGAATGAGCTCCCGGATGACATCAGGGCCCTGTGGGACCTTTTGCAGTTTTGCAGGGCTTGTAAAACGAAGCTCTTCCACCAGGCTTTCAATTAGGGGGCCGCCTTTAACATCATGGCCCTGGCTCTAACACCAACACCATTGCCAACCTGACAACCAACAACCTGGATTAGGGGCAGGAGACCACTCAAATGTTGAGAAAATGCTGCCATCATGCACTATGTTTATGTTCTGAGTAGTAATGGTTTTACATATTGTCATTTTAACTTATTTTGTTCTTAGTATGTTGTGGAGTATTAATGTACAATAATGTGTATGTATTGTAAGCCACCCTGAGCCCACCTCGGCAGGGAGGGTGGGATAAAAATTTAATAAAATCAACCAATAAATAAATAAATATCCTGGCAAGAGCGGTGATCGTCCAATCGAGTAAGAGGATCATCAGCTATTGAGAAAGAGGTTTCTTGAAATGGTCACTATCGAATGTCTGTTGAGTTTTTGGATCTGTTCTACTCTTGACACACTACAGATCACGGATATCACTGGCGACACACATCACAGACTCACAGCCAGATGTACTTGGGGGGAATTTGCCTTAAACAACTCTTGTTTGCTCATGGCTGCGAGAGAGTACTGTGAAAAAGAAATAGGAACTTCCGGACTTCCGGTTTCGGCGACTCGCAGAGTGGGTGTGCTCCATCCAGCTCTGATGTGAGCACCCCGCAAACATGCCAGTGTGTGGGGGTCTGAGTTGATCTTGGACCCCTCAGACCCCTTGTAGGGGGGGTCTCAGCCTGGGGCACAAGAGGTGCCTCTCACAAGACAGAAGCCAAAGGACTGAGGCACCTTCTTGCCCTGATAGGCCTCCGTAGCACGGACGGCCCGGAGCCAGTATGGCACCAAGAGGCGCACACTGGACAGAGCGCACAAGGATTCCGCGAAATGATCCTCTCTACATGCCAAGCGAACGCAAGTACAAACATGAGTGAAGCCATGATCCAGCAAACAATTGATAAATCGTTGCTAGTAAAGCCGCCCCAAAGCCCCAAACAAGCGGAAGGGGGAGGGGAATGCCTGATCCCAAAATGATGGAGTTTAAAGTGGGAGGCTGAAAGGGCGGCTCAAAGGAAGCGGATTACGATGGAGTGTGCAGCGGACCAGCAAGAAAGCGATAAATTCCAGACTTACGGAGAAGTTTTAAACTTTCCTCTTGTATAAACAATGACGCAGCGAGCAGAAAAAATGGCGTCAAAAGCTAAACTTATAATACAAACTGCCAGCACAGAATCGCTGGCTACCAGAGCAGAAGTAACCACAGACTTTCCCAAACTGACTGCTGTAGCTTTGCGCCCCCTCCTGGACCAGATGACCAACCTTAATGTCAAGCTGGATACGTTGCAAAAGGAACTGAAGGAATTTTCAGCGAGAAAGAAATAAAGCAGATGTTCCTGAAGCAACAACAGAAAGTGGAAGATGGTTTCCGGTTTGAAGATTGGCAATGGCGGTCGCTCTCCCCGGACCTTGGGGGAGCGATTAGCACACCAGCGGCATGGAGGGGTGCTACCTCAAGTGGCATCCCCACGGAGCCTTTGTGATAGGCTCCAGGCCAGAGGGCTTTTGAGGGTTAGCCTCTTCGACAGCTCGATGCCGGAGAATCAAGGCTTCCCTCCGCCCTGACAGTCCTGCCGTTGTGTGGCCTTTGGGCACAAGCTAATTCAACCAGGACAAGCGCGGGTCAGAGATATGAACAACAATGAACATGAGTTCAAAGTAAACGGAGTATTTTAAAAAACAAATTACCTCCCCCGTGGGAAAAGTAGAGCACTAAGAGGGACGCCTCTTAAGCGCATGGACAGATAAACATATCGAAGGGGGAAGGAAAGGCGGGGTATAAATCCAATCTCTTCTTCTCTTCCTCTTCTAAAAGAAAAAGAAGAAATAGGAACTTCCAGTTTCCCTCCCGTTCCAGTTTCGCCAGTGGACAAAGCCCTGTTTATGGTAGATTCCCCCGATGTAGTCTGACTGCGAGTTTAGTTACATGCCTGTGACCCAAGACTGTGACCCAACACTGTATCGAGTGTTTGAGCCCTTAGATGTATATCTTGGAGAAAAGTGGGGGTGCGTCTTCCAAAGAGTCACCTGGCAATGACTAGTTTGGAAAAGTTATTTCTTTTACAGCATTTGAAAAATCTGCTGCCCAATAAATTAGGGGCATATTTATACCCGAGAGGTTCTGAGATCAATTAAGGCAGCTGATCTTGAAGGTCTGGGGTACAGAACA